CATATCCCTCTTTAAATGTAAACAAATGTTTATAAACAATATTTGAGAATTTGGGCCTAGTTCTCTCCAAACTGCTTCCTGATTTTTGTAGGGTGAAGTAACTTTGGGAATGTTCAAAGCAACCTTTTGAGGGTCTTGGTCCATCAAACCACATTAGTCTGGAAGAAATCCACAGGTTCTCATCCTCTGTGGAAACAAAAGAAGAACCTCTTTTCCAAAGCAACAAATCCTTAGACCCAAATTTTGAAATCACGATACCATTAAAGTTTATATGGTGGTTTCTCTTAGCAGTCACTACAACGAAATGTCTCTCTGTACTTAGTTCATTCACAGTCAAAGAATTTAAAGAAAACATGATAGTATACATAGTTCAGACTGTGTACATTCCATCTTTATGTGACTTATTTTTCTTTACCCCTTTAATCTATGACTGTTTCTACCCATCTCTTTAAAGACTTTGTTTCATTTTTTTAAAAATGATTTACTTCTTTTTATAACTCTCTATGCTCCTTTTCTTCTCTTTCCCATGCCTACGTAAATTTATCTAACACCGTAAGACATTTGGAGGTCTTTTTAAAAATCTGAATCAGTCCTTATTGTGTATCTGCAATTATTTTCTGACCAGAAGCGCCTTTTCATTATTGCTAAGTGGGCATGGCTAGGACCAACTCCACTGTCCTGTCTGTTGGCTCTGCCCAGTCCAACATGGCAGAGGTCTGTTCACTGCCTCAGAGACTAACGGGTAGGAGCCATGCTCATCACCCCATGCTCCCTGCTGTGGTGCCAGAGGGAGAGCAAGCAACCTCTGCTAGCTATACTGCCCCTCTGTGTCATACCTTGTAGGAGAAGGGAGGCCACTTGCTGATCCTGGCTGCCCGGCTAGCTTAGACCCAAAATAATCACACAGAAACTATATTAATTTTTTAAAAAAATTTATTTATTATATATACCGTTGTCTGCCTGCATGCCAGAAGAGGGCACCAGATCCCATTACAGATGGCTGTGAACCACCATGTGTGTGCTGGGAAATGAACTCAGGACCTCTGGAAGAGTAGCGAGTGCTCTTAACCTCTGAGCCATCTCCCCAACCCCAGAAACTGTATTAATTAAATCACTGCTTGGCCCATTAACTCTAGTTTCTTATTAGCTCACTCTTACAAATTAATGTAACCCATTTCTCTTAATCTGTGTATTGCCATATGGCAGTGGCTTATCAGCAAAAATTCAGCATGTCTGAATCTGGCAGTGGCTCCATGGCTTCTCCCTGACTCTGCCCTTCTTTCTCCCAGCACATAGCCTAGCTTGCCCTGCCTAGTTCTGTTCTTCCCTGCCATAGGCTCAAAGCAGTTCTTTATTCATCAACCGATAAAAGCAACACACAGACAGAAGAACTTCCCACACCATTTCCCCTTTTCTGTTTAAACAAAAAGGAAGGCTTTAACTTTAACATAGTAAAATTACATATAACAAAACAGGTATCAAAAAAGAATTACAGTTACAATATTATATCTACTTTATCTTTTATCATAACTAAGGAAAACTCTAATAATAACTATAAATCTACAACTCCATCACGGACTCCAGAAGGATATATTACCTAAGTTAACGAGAAGTGCATCGTAAGCAATTTCCAAAATTCTAGAATTGACAGAGACATCTCGCTGCTTGTACGGTCACCCAAAGTTCTTCTGTACCACTGGGGCATCCATCTTCAGCCTACAGGCCCATAGTATCCAGCAGAGTTTTCTATGAAGCAGGAAATATCAAATACAGGTCTGCCTATATTGACAGTTTGTCAGTCACTTTCCTCTGTATCCTGCAGAATATCCTGGTAGACTCTTTCATGAACAGGAGCCCTGAAGGACAGTCTTACCTTTAGGCAAGTTCAGCAGTCATTTCTCTGCAGGTCCTGCATGTCCAGTTCATCAAACAGTCCAGGCAAGAGCAGTTTCTTGCCCAAATGGCTAACCAACTCCATAAGGAGCCTCTTCAATGCCCATCATCCTCTTGAAGTAATTGGTGCTGCCAGGAGCAGATGTGTCTCATTTTCACAAAAAGTCTTAAGTTCTTTCTTTTTTTAAAGATTTGTTTATTTATTATGTATACAACATTCATTCCATGTATGCCCATATGCCAGAGGAGGGCACCAGATCTCATTATAGATGGCTGTGAGTCACCATGTGATTGCTGGGAATTGAACTCAGGACCTCTGGAAGAGCAGTCAGAGCTCTTAACCTCTGAGCCATCTCTCCAGCCCCCAAGTCCTAAGTTCTTAAAACAATTTAAATGCCATATTCTGTAGTCTTTGAAAGGTTTGAAGAATGCCTATCCATCTGAAATACATCTCTATATATCTAGAAAACCTAACTAACATGACTACAAACTTGACTATTATAAATGACTATCTATGACATTACATTTTTAAATGAGCTGCACAAACACAATACCTTAATCAAGAGCAGAAATATATGTATACACAATATAACAAGTTTGACCTTAAATTTGTATCAATAAACCAGGATTCATACCAATGCAAAGTATCCATCTCTATAGGATATCTCCCTTTAAATGTAAGTAAACATTCATAGAAAATATTTGGGAATATGGGCATTGTTTTTCTCTAAACTGCTTCTTGCTGTTTATTGGACAAAGTAATCTTTTGAGGGTGTTCAAGGTGACCTTTCAGAAGGTCTTGGTCAATCAAACCACACTTGTCTGGAAGGATTCCACAGGTTCTCATCCTCTGTGGAAACAAAAGGAGAACCTCTTTTCCAAATCAACATATCCTTAGACTCAAATTTTGAATTCAAGATACCTTTGAAAGATGTTTGTTGGCTTAACTTAGCAGTCCCAAGAATCAAATGTCTCTCTGCAGTCAAAAAATTCAAAGATAACACAATATACATAATCCAGACTCTCTGTGAATTTTCCATCTTTATGTGGCTTGTTTTTACTCTATTACTTTTTCTACAAGTTTAATATTTATTTTATTATCTTTACTCCTTTAATCTATGACTGTCTGTACTCTGTCACTTTAAAGACTGTTTTACTTTTTAAAAAACCATCTACTTCTTTTTCTGTGCTCTTTTTCTTCTCTCTCCCAGGCCTATGTATATTTATCCAACACTGTGACTCATTTAGAGGTGTTTTCCATCTGAATTTGTCTTTATTGCATATCTGTAATTCTTTACTGTCCAGGAGTGCTTTTTAAAATGCTAAGTGCTTCTTAAAATTTAAGCTGTGCCATTACTAGGGTATATATGGTACTTCTTGCTTGCCCACCCAATCTAAAACTTAAGCTGTGCCATTACTAGGGTATATGTGGTACTTCTTGCTTGCCCTGCCCAGTCCAGCATGGTGGAGCCACTTGCGCCTCTGAGCCACGCACATTGCCCCACTTCCAGGAACATAGCCAGTCCATGTTGCCACCAAGTGAGTCTCAGCATGCTGCTCAAAAACCCCATCCAAATTGTTGGTTTCCCGAAAGAGTCAAGAGTTCATGTTAGCAGCATAGTCCATGACTGAGAAGCTCCATTTTTGAAACCATGGCATCTACCACTGAATCAGTAAGACCTCTCTTAAAGAAGCTGCAGCATACTGCCTCAAGCAAAGCCCATTTGGAAGAAACATGAGGCTAAACTTTGTTTTTTAGTGTCTAGAATTTCTTTTCAAGTCCTTTCAAATTTTACATGGATTTAGTCCACCACGTTGGGTGCCAATCTGTAGGAGAAGGGAGGCCTCTTGTTGGTTCCCAGTCCCCCAGCTAGCTTAGCCTCAAAATAACCACACAGAAACTGTATTAATTAAATCACTGCTTGACCCATTAGCTCTAGCTTCTAATTGATTAACTCTTACATATAATCTGTGTATTGCCATGTGGCAGTGGTTTACCAGCAAAGATTCAGCATGTCTGACTCTGGCAGTGGCTTCATGGTTTCTCCCTGACTCTGCACTTCTTTCTCCCAGCATACAGCCTAGCTTTTCCACCTAATTCTGTTCTTTCCTGCTCAAGGCAGTTCTTTATTCATTAACCAATAAAAGCAACACATAGACCAAAGGACCTCACATACTAATACCTGGCTTAGCTCTGGAGTTAGCACCCAGCTCTAATCCACCCTTTGTGTTAACAGATACCTTTTGTTGCCCTATGTGAATTTTCTCTGAGAGTTTCCCAAGGATACAAGGCCTATGCAAAACTTGATTAGGTGAAATTCTGAAAACCGTGGTATCTCATGAATCCGGTGTAATGGTAAAAGTAAAACCAACGTAAAGATAAAAGTAAAACCAATGTAATGGCAAAAGTAAAACCACTGAAATGGTAAAAGTAAAATGCTGCAGGCCCCCGAATGGCTGCCCAGGGCCACGAGGAGCAGCAAGTCCCAGGCAGGGAGCTCCTGAGTGGCTCGCTGGCCATGGCAGGGAGCAACATGGCAGGTGAGAGACCTCGGTGGGACAGCCAGTCCCACGAGGAGCTGCAGCCCCAGCAGGTGAAAAACATGGATAGGCATGCCATGGAGAGTGAAGTTGGATATTTATTTAGTGGGTTATGGAGGGGAAACAGGAGAAGGTAGAAAAGCAGAGAGAGGCAGAGAGAGAGGGAGAGAAAGAGGGGGGGGGAAGAAGAGAGGAGCCATGGGAGAGAGACTGAAAGGGAAGAGTTTACAGGCTGGAAGCAGAAGGAAGTCTGCTTACCTCAGCAGTAGGGGGAAGGAGCGGGCAGGGCTCGTCTCTTAAAGGGACAAGACCACAGAGGCCAGCTCAGATGGAAACCTGGCTAATTAGAAAATGGAATAAATCAACTCACCTACGTTTCCTCTCCATGTTCTTTATTCCCTTGGGTGAGGAAGGGAAAAGGGTGATCTCTACCAGCTTTCCAGTTTTACAGATGTAGTTAAAAATTTCATGGGCAAAACAATGACATCACATGCATTTTAGAATCACAAAAAGGGCAGGCACAGCCTGACACGGAGGCCCTCCAGAACAGGTGGCACCTCTCACGAGGGAATACCTGGCATTCCAAACCCTTAGATAAAGTAATTAACCCCTGAGCCTGGACTTCACCCGGACTTCACCCTCAGCCAGATCTGTCTGTCAGGTAAGGAAAGGGTCTTCCTTCTGAAATTCCTTCGTGGTCTGTTAGCAAGTTAGGGGGACTGACTGTTAGAACAAAGAGTAAATATTATTGCTCTAAGGCCTCCTGGTGTGGGGGATGGGAGGGAGGGTCATTCTGTTGCCCACGCAGGAGAAGTTACACTGCTGAGGTGTTTTGGGAATGAATCCCATTTTGAAGGGAAAAAAAAAATCATGGCTTCACAAGGTTTCCACAGATATGACAGTGACTTTTCCAAAAGACAAGTGTTCCCGTGGCTCTGCAAAACAGGTTTCTCCCTTTGGACGTGGATGTCCACACTTCCCGTGGATCTCACTACTGGACTGTCAGCTGTGGGTTCGCTTATATTGGAGTCTTGTGGGCTCCAACACAATAGATACAAGGGAAGAAAAAAAGGCTCTTTGTGGTGTGAGGGAAGAACCAAAGTGCCTCCATTTTGCCTTGCACGTCCATCTTGTGTGTTGTGTAAACTATTTCGTGTAAAACATTCCAGTCCTCAGAAACAGCTAGGGGCAAAAGTACAGATAACCTCAGAATGTCCCCACCCGAAGCTCAGCAGATAAGAAAACCTGACAAGCAACAGGGGAGGTTTGAAATAAAATTTCTGAAAAGTCCCTAGACATGCGCCAATCAGGATTGAACCTGTGACCCTACACCCTGCTAAGGTAACTTTTCTGGGTTTTGCCTTTAAACAATGCCCTCTAGAAGGGCGGGGCACCAACTCTTGCCGCTGCTGTGCCAGTTGCGTTGGCGAGGTCCCTGCCGGCTTTTACTGGGCACACAATAAACCTTGCTTTTGCATTTCCGTGAGTCGGTCTCCCTGGTGGTCTTTTGGGGTCCCGACAGACTGGAAACTACATGTTAACTCTGGTATGTTTTTAAATTTGACTTCTGAGAGTTCATATATTCTTAGAGCAAGGCTGGCAATCCGGATACCAGAGACGCTGTTGAGGCCATGGCAAGACTCTTCTGTGATGATCCTGGTACAAAAGCTCACTGAGAGAATCTTTAAAAAATGTCAAATGGTTGGACTGGTGTTGCGGTTGTTGGGGACTACAGCAGCAACAGCTGAAGGAGCGCTTCCTAAAGAAATCCAAGCTGCAACAGAACTTTGAGCTAAACAAAATAAAATTGATAAAGAGATAGTAAATAAATCAGCGGAGTTAGGCAGACTGTTATATTGTTAGAAAACCAGTTAAAAATTTTAAAGGAGCAGATAAAATTAAAAAGGGATTAAGATTTTTTTTTCTGTTGTGTTATACCCTTAAGATAGAATAAAAGCAAGTATGGTTGGAATAAGGCTAAGATGCATTTGATGGGTCACCCTAATTCTTCTCAAATGGTTTATTATTTACAATTTTTTAAAAACTTTTGCAAAAAAAGCTACCTAAAACAACAGAAATGAATATTGTAAGAAGTCTTACAGACACTATAGCATCGTTCAACCCTATAAATCGCTGTAATGGAATTCTTATTGTAGCAGTTGTTGCTCTTGTCTGCCAATCATAGCCTTACATGTTTGAAGATGTGCTTGGGCCTACTTATCTTAAGACAGATAAATTTTAAAAAGCTGTATATACTGGGACGCTGCATGACCTTCCCAATAATTAAATTTTGTATAAAGGAAAGGGAGATCTGTGGCACAATGTCCTGCTGTCCTGGCGCCCGAGGAATGACAGACAACCTCTGCCAGCCATAAACTCCTGCCGGGTCAGACTTGTCCTGGCTCTGGAGTTGCCACCCAGCCCCAATCCATCCTTTGTTACAGATACCTTCTGTTGCCCTGTGTGAATCTTGTCTGAGAGTTTCCCATGGATACAAAGCCTCTGCAAACCCTGGTTAGGAAAAACCGAAAATACCGTGGCACCTCATAAATCAGGTATTTGCACTTCTTTAAAATTTTTTTATTATTTATTTTTTATTTGCATATTTTTGGAAGCTTCATTCAGGTTGTTGGGCTTTTTAATTTTAAGTTTTCTTTATTACGTATACAGTGTTCTGCCTGCATGTGTGCCTGCAAACTAGAAGAGGGCACTGGATCTCATTACAGAAGGTTGTGAACCATCATGTAGTTGCTGGGAATTGAACTCAGGACCTCTGGAAGAGCAGCCAGTGCTCTTAACCTCTGAGCCATCTCTCCAGCCCCTCATTCAGGTTGTTTTAAACATATAAAAATATATTAGCTAAAATGTAAATAGAGAAAAAATAAAAATGCCAAAGGGCTAAGGAAAACTGCTTCAGTCCACCGAGGCTGGAACCCCTGCGTCTGCAAAGACTTAGGTTCTCTCTCAAAGCGTCTCCGAGTCTTCACTTCATGAACCCGTGTGAACCCACACCCACGCTGTGCTTCCTGCGACAGTTCCTAGATGCCATATGGTGAGAGTATCCCCGCCACGCTGGAGATTTCTTGGTTGCAGGGGTCTCTGCAATCCCCACAGCCAGCAGAGTAACAGTCCATGGATGGCAGGAAGGCAACTTTCAACACGACTCTGTAGCTGGTGTTGGTTCAAACTTCGGAGGTCTCACCCGGAGTCATTTATTTTAAGCATAGCAAATTTGGTGAAGATTTTCCTGGTGATAAATAACTCTACCACACATGCACTGAAACTTAAGACATGACTAAAGCAAAACTCTTTTATGTAAAGTACATGTGACATCGTCCATTAAGGTGTTCTATAGATTAACAAGCTCACAATAAGTGGCTGGGGAGAATCCGGTGTGTTCTCTGTAATGGATTAACTAAAATGTTGCAGTTCCCCGAGTGTCTGCAGTGGGCAGTGGGCAGCAGGCCATGAGACTATGCAACAGGTCCCCGAGTTGGGGCAGGCAGTGGGCAGCGGGTCCCAAGAGCAGCCAGTCCCAGGCAAGGATGGCACAGTTCCCCAAGTGGTTGTAGTGGGCCACAAGGGGCAGCGAGTCCCATGAGGAAAGATGGATGGGCATTTCATGACACCATGCTGCAGATCTCTGAAGGCGACTGGTCCCTGGCAGGAAGCCACGAGGCGGGTGAGAAACAGAGACATGGATAGGCCTGCCATGCAGAGCGAGGTTGGATATTTATTTAGTGGGTTATGGAAGGGAAGGGAAGAAGGGAGAAGAGCAGAGACAGAAGGGGGAAGGGGAGAAGTGAGAGACAGAAGCTGCCTCTTCAAGAGGAGACAGAAAAGAAGGGACTCAGGCTAGAAGCTGAAGATCAGCTTGCCTCGGTGGACAGGAGTGGGGGTGGGGAGTGCATGTGGCTTGTCTCTTAAAGGGTTAAAGGGACACACAGCTCATTATATTCTCATCTCTTTTTTATAATAAAAAGGCGGGCGGTTAGGCACCGCAGATTAAAGGAATTGGGGTGGTAGATTCTCATAGTGCAAAGGTCACCAGGATATTAACCAGAGCAGCTCCCAACCTCTGGGTGGAAAACAGGTTATGCATCCCTCCCTTTGAAGGGACGACTGTGTGTGTTTAACACCATTCCTCCCACACCAGGCAATTTAATCCAGGGAACCTGCCAAGAATGGAATTACAGGCTGTTTTCTCTGGGTGGGACAGGAGATTTTCGTGCAGCTAACTGTCCCTGTGTCCCTGAGGGAGAACCATGTCTCATGGGTACTTGAGGAAGAATGTGCACCTGTTTTATTACTTTTTTATTTATTGAGACAGGGTTTCCTTTGTGTAGCCCTGGCTGTCCTGGAACTCACTCTGTAGACCAGGCTGGCCTTGAACTCACAGAGATCAGCCTGCCTCCACCTCCTGAGTGTTGGGATTAAAGGTGTGTGCCCCCACCGCCTGGCTTTTGTTTTAATTTTTAGTTACCAGAAACAATGGGTTTCATTGTGCTGTCTTCACACATGTCCAGTCGCCGCTCCCCAAACAGTTCCTTCCCTTCTTCCCTTTTCTGTTGACATGGGATTTTTTTCTGTAGCCCAGGTTGTCCTGAAACTCGTGATGATCCTTTCGCCTCAACCTTCGAAAAGATTCGCCACCTCACCTGTCTTCTCTCTTTGCTCTTTGCTGTTGTTTTATCAGACAGGGTCTTGTAGCCCAGGCTAACCTAGAACTCTCTACTGTCAAAGATGACCTTGAGCGTCCCAGTGTTGTTTATTTAGAGTTGAGCTGGGGGGCGGGGTTATTTCATACAGCTGGCTCCAGGGGTCAGGTTTGGCTCATCTCAGCAGGAGTCGTCGGCAGGCTGTAAATATCCAGGGAGAGAAAGCGATGCTGGACAGTTTCTGAACACACTGTCAACACTTGTATTCAACACCCCCCCCCCCCACACACACACACAAAACAAGGCTTTGCCGTTCCTTCATCTACCGGTATGAGACTCTGGGGTCCTTGACATGGCCGTGCCCCTAGGGATAGCACACATTTATTCAGGGCTTTCTGTGCTCCCTAAAGGCCGGTGTTTGGCCCCTACATGAGGTGGGACAGAGTTCCCTGGCCCTGAGCCATCTGCTGTAAGCCGCTCTCCTTGCTGGGTGCAGGGCAGGCTCCTCTAACCGGCCACATTCCTTCCCGCCTGCCTCACAACACCAAGAGCCTTTAGTGTCAAGTTGCCCTGACCCTGCACCTGCCTCTGTCTCTAGCTGGGTCCCAGCGAGAGAGACTTGATCCCACGAGCCTCAAAAAGGATGAAAGGAAAGAGCGCTGTTTGGGTAGAGTGCTGACGCTGGCTTTCCTTCTGACAACCCGCAGGGCGGTCTGTGACTCAGTATTCTGGGGGTGGGGATTTGCAGGTTTTGTGAAGGCCAGCACATACTCTGGGAACAGAAACGCTACACCTTCCAAACACAAGAGCTGCAGCGATACAAGAAATGGGGTTTGTTGTTTGTTTAGCTGCCGAGGTGCTGAGGAGGGAACCCAGAACCCTCAATCCCTACTGTTGAGCCAAACCCTAGTCCCTTACAGGGGGATTCTAGGTCCGGTCGAGGCAGCTACAGCTGAGCCACGCCATGTGCCACAGCGTGTGAGTGAAGATCAGAAGGGACCTCGGGTGTTGGCCATGGCCTTCCTGGTTTGTAACAAGAGTCTCTTGTTTAGGCTCCGCTTGGGTCGAGCTGCAGCTCTCCACCGCTTCTCACTGCGAAGCCGCATGCGCTTACAGATGTGAGCGCCCCCTGCTGCATCTGGTTTATATGTGAGTTTTAGGGATCTGAACTGAATTTATCACATTTGGGCAGCAACCTACAGCACCTTTTCCACAACCTTCCTCCCGCCCTCTTTCATGT